ATATATTAAATAATATTTATAGAATATTAATATTATTTATTAAGCTCCAGACTCAGTGCTAAGCATTATATATATATTATTTAGTCCTCTTAATAACCCTGCAAAATAGGTGTTATCCCATTTTACAGATGAAGAAACTCAGCTACAGAGAGGACAAAGAATTGTCCCTTGGTCATCAGTTATTGAATGGTGAAGCTGAGGTTCACACACTGATACTTAAAAAAAGTTTTTATTTATATTAATATAGGCACATGATTATCTTTCTAAAAAGCTTATTTACAAAGTTACGTATTACAAGGCTAGTGGTGAAAAGCAGTCCCATCTCCCATCCTTCCCCACTCCTGATTCTCCAGAAGCAAACCACAATTATTTGAGCGATTCTGATTGTTTATATCTGTATTTTCACATTACATGGCTATTTCCTATTAAGAAAGCTCTTATCCCTGTCCCCCATCCTTCCAATATTATAATTTCTGGTTAAGTCGTTATTTAATGTTTATGTTATTAAGACTGTGTATTTATTATTCAGTGCTGAGTCAAATATTATACAATTTCCTTTCTTGTATATATTTTTTGTTTTTTCCTAGAGTATGAGGCATGGCCCTTACTGCCTACATGAAGTCCCAACTCCCTGGGAATGCATACAAGTTCCTTCTTCTTTTTTTTTTTTTTTTAAGAAAAAAATTATTAAAGATTTTTAAATTTATTTATTTGAGAGACATAGAAAGTGGCAGAAATAGCCACAGAGACAGCCACAGAGAGCAGGAGCAAGGAGGAGAGGAAGAAGCAGGCTCTCTGCTCAACAGGGAGCCTGAGGCAGGGCTCTATCCCAGAACCCTGCGATCATGAGCTGAGCCAAAACCAGATGCTTAACCTACTGAGCCACCCAAGCACCCCAAAAGATCCTTCTTGATGCACCCTAGGGTCTACCTGTGCAGCCTGAATGAACACCAGCTTCAATGAACTACCCGCTGTTGTCCAAAGGACTTGCTCTTCAGGCCATTCCCATCCATATCCGTTCCCTTTGCCTCTTATGCCACCTCCATTCCTTCATCCTAATCACTGGCTAACTCCTGCTTTTCCTTCCAAGAATCCTGGGAAACTCTCCTTTCCTCTTCACTGCCATCTGGATTAAATATCTCCCCTCTGTCTTCCCACAGCAGCATTTCCTTACCTCCTTCTCAGCAGTTATCACACTAATTGTCCATGTGTATTTGCATGTCTCAACTGAGATCCCTGAGGTCAGGGATCATGTCCTTTGTTTTTCCTGTTTAAGATTGTATTTTTATTTAAATTCCTTTATTTTATTTTATTTTTTTTAAATTAACAAGTATTATTTACTTCAGGGGTACAGGTCTGTGAATCATCAGTCTTAACACAGTTCACAGCACTCACCATAGCACATACCCTCCCCAATGTCCATCACCCAGCCACCCTGTCCCTCTCACCCCCACTCCCTCAGCAACCCTGTTTGTGCTGAGATTAAGAGTTTCTTATGGTTTGTCTCCCTCTCTATCCCATCTTGTTTTATTTTTCCCTCCCTACCCCCCTCAACCTCCCATGCTGCCTCTCAAATTCCTCATATCAGAGAGAACATGTAATTGTCTTTCTCTGATTGACTTATATAGCTCAGCATAATACCCTCTAGTTCCATCCATGTCATTATAAATGGCAAGATTTGGGGTTTTTTTGATGGCTGCATTGTATTCCATTGTATGTATATATAATACATCTTCTTTATCCATTCATCTGTTGGTGGACGTCTAGGTTCTTTCCACCGTTTGGCTATTGTGGACATTGCTGCTATAAACATGGGGTGCACGTGCCCCTTCAGATCACTACATGTATATCTTTGTGATTGCTGGGTTGTAAGGTAGTTCTATTTACAACTTTTTGAGTAACCTCCATACTGTTTCCCAGAGTGGCTGCACCAGCTTGCTTAAGATTTTATTTTTAAGTAATTGCTACACTCAATATGGGGTTTGAGCTCACGATCACAAGATCAAGAGTTACATCTCCACCAACTGAGCTAGCCAGGCCTCCCAAGGATCGTGTCTAATTAATTTTGTATCATAACATCCCTTGTAGTTGTTCAATATTTATCTTTTAGCTGATGGAATAATCTCTACTTCTTGGGGTTATGGGGACTGGAGTGGAAAAAAGTTGCCACCAGATGCCCTAGGATCCACTTGGACTTATCTACATGAGGAGGTCCTCAGACTCCTCTTGGGACAGGTGGGTGTGCAGGGTGAACAAGCACGCTTTTGAAAGTGGAAGAGATTGAGGGTACTCCTAGAACAAGCAGCCCTGAAGACAGGCAGAGGCCTTCTGGTGAGTGTGGGAGCTCCTTAGGTAGTTTCAGTGAGAATATAGGTAGTTTGAGCATTGGTGGAGGGTCCTGGGAGTTAGACCCACCCCATAAATCAGTGAGCATGGCCGGGTGGCAGTCTTTTCCTCAGGTAGAACTGGAATAGGAACAGAGCTGTCAAGACCAAGGGGAGCCTATTGAAGTTGAGCGAGACTAAGCTGTAAGGTGATTTTTAAATTTATTTTCTGCAGTGTTTACAATCCAATGAAGGAGGCAGCTACTTGGAGTGGGGGGATCAGAGGGTCTTCAGACCTATTTCCTCTCCTTTCAGTGATATAGCAAATTGTGCCATATTCTCTTCTTGCAAATACCTGATTCCATTCCAGTCCGTATTTTGCTCTCTAGCGCATCTATGACAGCCTTTAAGGTTTGAAGGTGGCCCATCATCCGTTGTTCTTCCGTCCATTCTTTTCTTTTTTTTCCCTCTCCAGCCTGCTCCCCTTCTTCATGCAGACAACAATCAGGACAGAGTAAATCATCAGTGGAACGCTTTGAGACCTCTCTGCCTCCCCTCTTGGCCTCTCACGTGTAGTCCCCTTACACTATTGTAGTAGAAATGTTGGTCATTGGGTAAGGGTCATCTCTCGTGCCACCTCTCCTATGGGGCTTCCTCTGATTCTTTCCTCTCTCTCTGAACTGCTGTGAGGCTGGGCATATCTCTCAGGTCTTTTATTTATTTTTTAAAGATTGTATTTATTTATTAGAGAGAGAGTGAGAGCACGAGTGGGGCAGAGGGAGAAGCAGACTCCCCACTGAGCAGGGAGCCCCACGAGGGGCTCAATCCCAGAACCTTGGGATCATGAACTGAGCTGAAGGCAGGTGCTTAACCAGCTGAGCCACCCAAGGGCCCCTCTCAGGTCTTTTAGAATGTGACACTCACACTGTGTTTATACCCAGTCCCAGAATGCAGCTGGGTCATTTGATTTCCCCTGCAGCAAATCCCAGCTGCAAAACCCTGAAGAATGGACATTTTATTGAAGGTTTCACAATGAGAATCATATGGCATTTCACACTACAAAACTACATAACAATTCCCTTCAAATATTTCTGCTCCTTTATCTCAGCTTCTCTGTTGGTACAAGCTACTCCTCTTTTCCCACCAGACACCCTCTCTCTGGGCCTCTCTTCAGCCACAAACTTGGGCTTCTTCCCTTTCCATGCTCTCTGCCACCTTCTTCTGGAACACCCCCATCTCTTTTTCTGAAATTAGCATTTTCACACTAATCATCTTTCTTTTTTTTTAATTTTTAAAAAAGATTTTATTTATTTATTTTAGAAATAGAAAGAGCAAATAGGGGAAGAGCAGAGGGAAGAGGGACAAGCAGACTGCCTGAGCACAGATCCCAACTTGGGGCTTGATCCCACAACCCTGAGATCATGACCTGGGCCAAAATCAAGAGTCGTACTATTAACCAACTGAGCCACCCAGGCACCCCACACACTCATTATCTTTCTTTCTTTCTTTTTTTTTTTTTTTAAGATTTATTTATTTATTTGACAGAGAGAGATCACAAGTAGACAGACAGGCAGGCAGAGAGAGAGAGGGAAGCAGGCTCCCTGCTGAGCAGAGAGCCCGATGCGGGACTTGATCCCAGGACCCTGAGATCATGACCTGAGCCGAAGGCAGCGGCTTAACCCACTGAGCCAAACTCTCTTCAAACAAGAGAGATCCATTCTTCAGAAGACAGAGAATAGCAGGGCACCTTGCTGGTTCAGTTGGAGGAGTGTGTAAATCTTGATCTTGGGGTTGTGAGTTCAAGCCCCATGTTGTGTGTAAAGATTACTTAAGTAAATAAAACTTAAACATATAAAAAGAAGACAGAGAATAACATAAATAACAAATGATTTCTGCCTACCCCACCCCCACCTCATTTTCCTCCACAGACAATTTAACATCTCAGCAAGTCTATTACACAATACCAACTCAGAGTGTTGAGTGAAGGGGAGAGTAAACACAGTACACTATTTGCTCTTGGCACCGGAGTCTCTCCAATCTTGAGGCCCACCCCTTTCCTCCCTTCTTCTCTGGTGAGGTTAGATGTGACTCATTTCTGAAGCCCTTTGAACACAGAGGTTTGACTCTCCCTGGCTGTATAGTTACCAGAAAAAAATTGAGTTAACCTGGGGAGGTCCCACTCCCATCCCAACCCAGACAGTTTAGTCCCACTAGGTCAGTTAAAGCACAAGATCAAATGGTAGCATTAAGATTCAACAAGGTGGGGGTGGGGCGCCTGGGTGGTTCAGTGGGTTAAGCCTCTGCCTTCGGCTCAGGTCATGATCTCAGGGTCCTGGGATCCAGCCCCGCATCAGGCTCTCTGCTCAGCAGGGAGCCTCCTTTCCCCTCTCTCTCTACCTACTTGTGATCTCTCTCTGTCAAATAAATAAAATCTTAAAAAAAAAAAAAGATGCAACAAGGGAAGCTATAGCCTGGAAAAGTTTCCATTTTGGGATCTGGGAAAAGATGTTAAGTCTGTCATCTGGAAGGTGAGTTCCCTCTCCCCTTCCCTGAGCTTTTTCCTCATAAGCTTTTTCTTGCCTGCCACAAGATATCTTCCCTCACAATTGAAACAAACCCATCTCTTGCTGGTAGGGTGGGGTGGCAATCTTTGCTTTCTTCTTGGAACTATCTCAGATTGAGGTCAATGAGATGCCTGTAGTCGGTGCCTTGATGGATTCTGGATCCTGTTTGTTACCAAACTTGCTACACTTACATGCAGATAAGGGTGACTGGTCATCGCCATGAGTCCTGGGCTCTGACTTCAGAAGGCTGATCCATACTTGCACCCTCCTGCTCTGTGATGCCAAACCCTGGTCTGCTCTTCATTATTCTGCCCCAAGGACATCTGATTTCACCTCACTTTCTGTGTCCTTCATTCATTCCCCAGTAGTGAGAATTCAGGTGGTTTCTTTGGTCTCAGAAGAAACCTTGGGACCCCTGGGTGGTTCAGTCAGTTAAGTGTCTGACTCTTGATTTTGGCTCAGGTCATGATCTCAAGTCATGAGATTGAGCCCTGTGTCAGGCTCTGTCCTGGGAGTGCAGCCTGCTTAAGATTCTCTCTCTGCCTCCCTCCCTCTCTCTCTCTTCCCCACCACCCCCTGCCCCCAAAATGAAGAAATCTGACATTCTGGAAAAGTTTTGTCCTAAGTTACTCCTGCCCTGACTGCCCTAGGTAGACCTGATTCTCCATAGCACCCCATAGCACGTTTTCACATGACCTGCTGCAAACCCTTCTCAGGTCTGAACACATGAAAAGTGTCTTCTCTTGTTTACGGCATCTGGTCCCAGGCTTAGGCCAGTTAAAAAAAAAAAAAAAAAAAAAGACTCTTTCCCACTCTCAGCTCTGCTCAGCAATCTGTCTCACAGATGGCTGTGCGTCCATATAGAAATCCTGCTGCTGGCCCCAGTGGATTTTTACCCCATCTCCAGTTTCTTGCTGTCCTGTGACATTTAAGGGCATATATAATTCCAGCTTGATTTTTCTCTGCTGTCCCTGGCACTGCTCTCCTTCCAAATGACTGCAGTTATTGTTATGAAGACGAAATGAGAAAAGCAAAAAATATATTATAGTGCCTGGAATATAGTAGGTGCTCTATCACAACCAAAGTTGTTACTGTTATGTTATGTTTATTGTCTCCTCCCCCACCATTTCTAGCTATGTCCTCCGTGCTTTGTCCTTTGCTCCAGAACAGGAGGGGTAAAGAAGGAAACAAAGGAAGAGTAATAGAACTTACAACCTCTGTTATCTATATTTGAAAAACAAGGCAAAGCAGGCTTTCTGAATACTCACCAGGGTCCTGTCCTCTAACTTCTTTTGTCTTTGCCAGTGGGCATTTGTAAGATTAAAAGAGAGAGATTGACTACCGGATGTAGGAAAGCAGTTTTCCTCTGCTCTTAAAATATCCACACTCAAAGGCCATATAACCAAGCTTAAATTGAGATTGATTCTGAGTTGCCGATCAAGGGGCTAGTAGTAAGGAGTTGAGGGATACCTATGTCTTCTTCAGTAAGCTTTTGACATTAAAACAAAACAAAAACAAAACCACTATGTGCATATGTTTACTTTTCAAATAAAACAAAAATGTTTTAAAAAACCCTTGCCTCACAAATGTACTCACTATTGTGCAAGCTCCTTTGCTTCCAGCCTCGGATCTCTTTGTGACTGGCCTAGAAACAGCAGGACTCCTAGGTCACCGGTGCATAGGGACAGACACTCTTGACCCTGCTTGTGACAGCATCGCAAGCACATGCCTGACATACTCTGGATAGCCAGTTTGGTTCTATTACTGGTACATGAAAGTTTTGCTCCAGCAGCAAATCTCTAAATTTAGATGCTTTTCAGGATGAACTCTGGATGCTCTTTGTCCTGAAGACTAGGAAGGAATTGGAGGGCACCTTGCTTTTTATTTATTAAGTCAAGTGCCAAAGTAGATGTTTCATAATATAAAACTTATGAAGACTGCCGTAATAATGGAAAATAAAATAAAATACAGGGAGTATCTAAGATTTCTCCTTTACAGTTCTCACAAAAGTTTTATCCTGAATTCCTTTTTTTCTTTTTTTTTAATTAATTAATTTATTTGAGAGAGCAAGAGCAAGAAAGTGTGGGCAGGTGGAGGGGCAGAGGGAGAGACAGAATCACAAGAAGGCTCCATGCCCACCACACAACCCGAACTCATGACCCTGAGATCATGACTTGAACTGAAATCAAGAGTTGTATGCTTAACCAACTGAGCCACCTAGGGGCCCCTCCTTTTTTTTTTTTTTTTCACTTAAGTATCCAAAGCATTACCATATTATAATAATGCATCATAGTAATACTGTGCACACTCAAATGAAATAAAAACAAGTCCAGAGTAAAAATTCTTATCCTGGTTTAACTCTATGGAGGTCTTTAGCGTTAATACAATTTAGGAATTCAGTTCTCATATAATGTCAAGATGCTTAAATGTTGCCATTTTCATTAAAGAAAAAACAATTTCAGAAATGAGAGAACCTAAGGGAATGACGAATTTTCTTTAATAAAGAACCAGCTCCTTGAAAGGCCAGCTACACCAGGGTTTTTGTTTTTGTTTTTGCACAAAGTATTTTTATTTATTTATTTTAAAATTTTATTTTTTAAATTAAATTATTTTTTAAAATTTATTTTAAAATTTCTACAATTTAATTTGACAATTAACATTGTATGTCTTTGAAGTATACAACTCGATGATTTGACATATATATGTGTATATGTATATGTGTATAGCAACATGAGTACCACAATCAAGCAAATTAATGCATCTATCATATCAGATAGTTACCATTTTTTTCAAAGATTTTATTTATTTGTCAGAGAGAGAGAGAGAGAAAGCACAAGCAGGGGGTGGGGCAGGCAGAGGGAGAAGCAGACTCCCCACTGAGCAAGGAGCCCCATGTGGGACTCTGTCCCAGGACACTGGGATCATGTCCTGAGCAGAAGGCAGACGCTTAACTGACTGAGCAACCAGGCATCCCTAAAGATTTTATTTTTATGTAATCTCTATACCCAATGCGGGGTTTGAACTTACAACTTTGAGATCAAGAGTTGCTTGCTCTACCATCTAAGCCAGTCAGGCACCCACTGTTTTCTTTTCTTTCTTTCTTTCTTTTTTTTTTTGAACTGGTGAGAACACTTAAGAGCTCTCTTCTTAGCAAATTTCAAAACTACAATAAAATATTTTTAACTATAGTCATATTGTTGTACATTAGATCTCAGAACTTATTCATTTTCTATAACTGAAACTTTGTACTTTGGTCAAAATCTCCCTGTTTCTTTCTGTCCCCCAGACCCTGACAATCACCATTCTGTTCTCTGCTTCTATAGCTTCAACTTTTTTTAGATTCCATATATAAGTGAGATAATCCAATAATTGTCTTTCTGTGTCTGACTTATTTCACTGAGCGTGATATCCTCCAGGAGGATCCATGGTGTTGTAAATGGCAAGATTTCCTTCTTTTTTGAGGCTGAATAAGATTCCATTATATATATTTATATAACATGTATATACACACACACATTCACACACCCACTAGGGTGTTTTTTTTTTTTTAAAGATCTAATTGTTTACTTTAGGGAGAGAGTGAGCTGTGGGGAGGGGCAGAGGAAGAGGGAGAGAGAGAGAATCTCAACAGACATCCTGCTGAGTGCAGAGCCTGTTGCAGGGCTCAATCTCACCATCCTGAGATCATGACCTGAGTTGAAATCAAGAGTCAGATGCTTAAGTGACTGGGCCACCTGGGTACCCCCTCAACCAGGGTGTTTTTTTTTTTGTTTTGTTTTGTTTTTGTTTTTTAACCAGAGTTGTTTTTTTTTCTTTTAAGATTTTGTTTATTTATTTGATAGACAGAGATCACAAGTAGGCAGAGAGGCAGGCAGAGAGAGAGGAGGAAACAGGCTCCCTGCAGAGCAGAGAGCCCGATGCAGGGCTCAATCCCAGGACTCTAGGATCATGACCTGAGCTGAAGGCAGAGGTTTTAACCCACTGAGCCACTCAGGCATCCCATAACCAGAGTGTTTTTAATGAAGAGTTAAGAAAGTAATTTTGGATTCAGATGGACTAGGTTCAGATCCTGGCTCTGCTACCATTAACAGGGTGATGGTAGATGATTTATTTAAATGCTTTGATGCTTTGCCTGAAAATGCATTCTAATAATACCTTTTTATTATGGGAATTAAATGACAGCTTATAAAAGGAACACATAGGGCTCAATAAATGGTGTTATTCAGTTAGGACATAATGGTAAGTATTATTTGTCAAGATATAATAAGTACCAATATGACAGGAGCTAATGTTGTATTGATGTATCCCAGGAAAGGAAGATTCTTCCTGTTTAACAAGGAACAACATAGAGTAATGGAAAAAAAAAAATAACAGAAAAAAGAGGGATCCTGCGGGGGTCCTGCCATAGCTTATTCAGCCGCCCTGGACAAATCACCTAAACCCCTCAGGCCCTGGTTTCCTCATTTCTAAAAGGAGAAAAGTAGCTTGAGTCCCTGAGGGCATTTGGCTAAAGTGTTTTCAAAGGCCTGTCTAGTTTTAGAAGTACAGGAAGTCTGCATATTTCTTTATTGAAAAGACTTCACTGGAAAAGTTCTTTTTTTTTTTTTTTAAAGATTTTATTTATTTGTTTGACAGAGAGATAGAGCACAAGTAGACAGAGCAGCAGGGAGATGGAGGGGGAGAAGCAGGCTCTCCACTGAGCAGAAGGCCTGATGTGGGGCTCGATCTCAGGACACTGGGATCATGACCTGAGCCGAAGGCAGCCACTTAACCGACTGAGCTACCCAGGTAAAGTTCTTTTAGTCCTTTTAGTTCAAGCACCCATATCAGGACATACCTGGGGATATAAAAAATTCCTTGGGAAGCTATTGGATGAATATAAGACACATGACAAGATATATACATGTGACCAGAAATCAGGTTGCAGGTCTGGGAGTGGAAAACTTGGTTGACAGGCTAACAAGACTGGGGAGGATCACACTGAACTTGGTTCCTCCTTTGAACCTTTGAAACAACTCCCACTGGTGAAGGAGTGCACTCCACAAAGCCTCTCCAAGATGCATCCCTGACTGAGCACCTCCTCCCCATACAGTCCCCACTCCTAATGGGGAGCCCTGAGTCAACCTGCCCTCTCCCAGTCTCCCTGCTCCTGTGCTGAACCCCAGTTTGCCCTGCTCACAGCCTTTCTTTCGGGACTTGTTGCCTCTTCCAAATTCAGCCCCCAGCTCTTATTATTTTTAGCTCCCAACTCGGGACTTTTTAGAGTAAACAATCACATGCACTAG